AAAAAAAAAAAAAAAAAAAAAGCCACTGTCTCTCTGCAGCATCTACAAGTTCACACAGAGCCTGTTAGCTGGCACGGCTTGGCAAAGCAGGGGAACTTTTTGCCATGTCGAGACGAGGCGTTCTTGGGAGATTATTTCTCTTGGACAATTCACATCATTTGTGGTCTCTGCATTGTGTCTTGATGTGGAGAAGAATACCAGTGAGAATAGCCAGGCATGTAGCTGTTGGGAGGCATATTGACTCCCTTGGCAGAAGCTGAAACGTCCCAGACTGGAGGCAGAGCTGGAGAGCGAGGGGAGAGGGCGGCAGAGCCGGGCAGAGGGTCGCTCTCGTGGGGGTTGCTGCCCTGCTTCAGCAGCTTCTTGAATTTGGAGCGCTTGTTCTGAAACCAGATCTTCACCTGTAAACAAAAACGCAGCAGAAATTAGCACCCAGGGCACGCAGGGAAGGCACCGTGGGCCGTGGGCTTGCTCTGGAGAGCCCATGCTAGTTCGTTGTGGAGTTGGGCTGGCGAAAGAGGGGAGGGGTAGCTACTGCTGCTTTCTGGCTCTGGATGCAGCTGGAGAGGAGAGGTAGAGTGGAGCAGGAAATGGAGAGGGATGCAGGATTTTACCTGGAATGTTACTTTCCCTGGGCAGGCCAGATTGATCGAGCTGGAACAGAATATATGCTCTGAGCTCTCCTGCTTTAAATGCCTCATTCAGAATTTTGGAGGTCATTTGATCATTTGGGCAAACTGTTGTCAAACACGGGCAATCATATGATTTTATGCCAGGAGACAGGAGCCAATAGACAAAGGGCATCTCACAGGGAAACCGTGCATCCAAAAATATGCACGATGAAGCGGTCCCTGCTGATGTGAAGGGAGAGGAGACACAATGGATCCAGGATTGTGGCTTTATTTTAAAAGCTGTTTTTAAAGAAAGGAAAATTCTCTTTTCTCAGAGAGTAATTGGCTATCAAGATTGCTTTGGGTCTCATCCTGCTCCTAATTAAGGAGAAGTCCCAGGGAGGGAGCCTGCACTCTATGAGTTGTGCAAGGATCGGGCCCGCTCTGACAGATCAGAATTGTTACAGGCATGAGAGACATATATAAGGCATATATGCACGCATATCTCTTAAAATCAAACAAACAAATAAAACAACTCCCATATGTGTCTTTGACCTTGCAGACTTTGCAGAGGTAATGTTAGGGCATAAGCAGGGGTGTTTGTCTAGCTGCATGCTCAGGATCGGGCCGTTAAATCCATGTGTGCGAGAGAGAATGCAAAGGAGAGACAGCAAGACAGCATGCATGCTAAGGACACTAAAATCCCATTTGTAAAACCATCAGGTCTATTCCCATGATTAATGTTTACTGAGTATTCAAAAATCTCTGGCTGGAAGCGACTATTACCAATGACAATGATAAAATCCTGAAGTTATTTGTTAAGCTCATAAATTCACATGATTACATTTTACCCGAATTGATCCCATCTATCCATGCACTTCTCCGCAAACCCCAGCCTGGGAAGCCTGTAATGCCTCGTGTCTTTCAAGCTTAAATTAGCAGAATGGCACAGCTATTCCAACCATACTTAACTATGGCTTAACCTGCTATAATTTTGTACACGGCTGTCTTTGATCTTCAGATCTATTATCACCTTTCGTACATTTTGCCCAAGGGTAACCACTGCATTTGCATTAGTCATCCAGGATGAATTAACTATTGATTTTACAGGTATTTCCTAACGTGTTCCTGCTTCCTCTCTACCTATAGGTTGCTATGAGGCAGCTTTCCTTTGCTTTAAGCTCTATCTCAGGCCCTGCAATTCCTTGCCTTCGCTTTGTTCTGCTTTTCATAGCTGGGCAACTGCACCTCGGTGCTGGAATTATCCGAATATACAGGCAATTTCAAAATGTTTTGTGTGGCATCGAAAGGGAGCGTTTGCTCGCCAGACGGCTGAGGGAAGGGAGCTTTCAGTTCCTGCGGCAGAGGGGTCTCTGTCGTGCGTTAGGTCAGTCCTGTCACACATAGGTGGGGAAACGTGTGGGTTACCTTCTCTGCCTTTCCCATACAGAGGCCAAAAAGCCTAGGGAGCATCGTACCGTGCTTGGCCTTTATTGCTCGCGCAGGATTTCAATGATTTGGGATTCCCAGCAATTACCTGTGTCTGGGTCAGTCCTAATGAAGCTGCCAGTTCAGCTCTCTCTGGAAGTGCCAGGTACTGAGTCTGCTGAAAGCGATGATTTAAAGCCTGGAGTTGTAGGCTTGAGTAAATGGTTCGAGGCTTCCGAATCTTTTTCCCTTTTCCATTGAATCTGATTTCACCGTTTTCAATCACTGTGGTTTTTTGCTGATCTGCAAGCAAAACAACACAGCTGAAACAACACCCTCCTTAGCTATGTAACGTTTCGGCTGCCACGGCTCCTCCAAATCCAGCAGCCTGCCCCGACGCCGGTCCGGCACCACCGCGTACGCGCAGGCTCCGGCTCCTTGAATTCACGCTGCTGCTTGGCAGCTACCGGCAGGAAAAACAACTGCCCGGGTGCAGTGGGCACCCTGCCTTTCCCGCGGGGGAAAAATCAATAAATAAAAAAATATCGTAATATATATTAAAAAATGTAAAATGCAGTGCAGCGCCTGCTCCGTGAGGGGGATGCCTGGTTCCAGGGCCATCCAGGTTTTACCCAGCTAATTGACTTCGCGTCGCCTGTTCGGTGGTCAGTGAATCACCAGTCCGAGACTTTTAACAATGCTTTTCTCCCCCTGCCTCCCCCCGCCGTGCCCCTCCGGATGAATACGTACAAATAAGAGGCTCCCTGCAAAAAAAAAATACATAAATCAGACGGCCCCCGAGCGGAATGCGACCCGCTCGCCTGGAAACTTTCACTCCTCAGGTGTTAGCAGGAATTTTGCCTAAAGCCG